TTTGGGGATGGCCCCTTCCTGTTCCAACATGACTGCCCACCAGTGCACAAAGCAAGGTCCATAAAGACATGGAGGAGCCAGTTTGGGGTGGAGGAACTTGACTGTCCTGCACAGAGTCCTGACCTCAACCCCATAGAACACTTTGGGATGAATTAGAGCGGAGACTGCGAGCCAGGCCTCCTCCCCCGACATCAGTGCCTGACCTGACAAATGTGCTTCTGGAAGAATGGTCCAACCTTCCCATAGACACCCTCCTAAACCTTGTGGACGGCCTTCCCAGAAGAGTTGAAGCTGTTATAGCTGCAAAGGGCGGGGCCAACTCAATATTGAACCCTACGGACTAAGACTGGGGGGCCATTAAAGGTCATGTGCGTGGAAAGGGTGGGGCCAACTCAATATTGAACCCTACGGACTAAGACTGGGGGGCCATTAAAGGTCATGTGCGTGGAAAGGGCGGGGCCAACTCAATATTGAACCCTACGGACTAAGACTGGGGGGCCATTAAAGGTCATGGGCATGGAAAGGCCGGGCCCGACCAATACTTGGGGAGATATGGTGCATATCGCCATGACTACAGCCTACCTCGAGCCATGTTACAATACGACATTGGCGATGACATGACCTGGCTCTATACACTGCCCGGTGAGCGGGAAGGCCCGGTACATGGATCATTCATAGAGCGTTGAAGAGTTGAAGCTGTTATAGCTGCAAAGGGCGGGGCCAACTCAATATTGAACCCTACGGACTAAGACTGGGGGGCCATTAAAGGTCATGTGTGTGGAAAGGCAGGGGACCCAAATACATTTGGCAATATAGTGTATATAGGTATGCACACCTGTGTGCTCGATCCCGAGCTGCACTGCCTGTGTCCATGGGGGGGGAAGAGGGAGGGCTAGTCACCGTAAATTCTGTCCCAAAGATATAGGTGGCAGTGAGCAACTCCGCCTACCACGTCCATGAGGCAGGAGATCCATCGTCCTTCCAGGGATCATGGTTAGGGAGGTAAAGGCGACACACGTCTGACTCCATGCACTTACCGTGGTGACTCTGCAAATCTGTCCTTTGTACTCTGGGCTGTAGCAGGCGCCGCTGAGCGGGCATTTCTCCACCGGCTTCCCCCGGTAGATGGGCTTGTATGAGGCGGCACAGATGTCGAAGGGGTTGTGCATGTCGTAGTTGAGCTGGTACGTGTCCGTGAGGGTCTTCTCACACGCCGCTAGGATCTTACGCGTCTGTGGGAAGGACAATGAAAATGAGAACACGTTCCCTCGGAGGAGAGCTGGATCCCGGCCAGAGATCTCAAATTTAATGAACCTCCAAATGATGATTTGCTGTTAGAAATGTGTATTGTGCCTGAGCAGGACCGTGAAAAATCGACCATGAATGCCTCCAGCAGAGCATTTCCTGGTATGTCGAGGTGCCTAGGCACTCCTGTACCTCCAGCTTCAAACCTGTATGTCTGCCGTGTGAGATCTCAGGGGCTGCCGGCTCTGACTGCCAAGTTGGGTTCTCCGGCTTCCATGAAAGTAATGGTCCCAGTGGGATATGACTAGTGAGGGACACAGATACCGAGGACTTTCATGAGCACTCCTACCCATGAAAATGCTCCTGATACCTGAAACTGATACTTTGTGGTGCGATTTGCGCCCATACAAAACGTATGGACGCAAAATGCACCGCAAAGAATAGTGTGTGCGATGTGAACAGGAATGCAATTGCTGTCCAAATCGAATGCGGTTTCCTCACTACTCCCGTGGGAACCCGGGCCTGTCACAGGAGCGGTGCGGGAAACCTCCTTGCACCGATCCCATGCTGTCACAGAAGGAAAAGCTGGGGATTTGAAATCTCTATAGCAGGGGTGTCAAACGGGCGGCCCTTCAGCTGTTGTGAGACTACAAGTCCCATCATGCCTCTGCCTTTGGGACTCATGCTTGTAACTGTCAATCCTGCAATGCATCATGGGACTTGTAGTTTTGAAACAGCTGGAGGGCCACCAGTTTGACACCTGTGCTCTACAGCTTTCTCTCCTGTTAGTGCAGGGATGACAGTATGGGGTAGATGGCTTTTGATTGGTCAGTACTGCCATGGTTCTGACCAATCAAAAGCCATCTAGCCCGTACTGTCATCCCTGCAACGAGAGCAGAGAAAGCCGCTTTACAGGTCTGGGAATTTGAAATCCCAGTGGTTTTCTCTCCTCTCAGTGCAGGGATGACAGTACGGGTTAGATGGCTTTTAATTGGTCAGAACCATGGCAGTATTGACCAATCAAAAGCCATCTAGCCCGTACTGTTATCCCTGCAACAAGGGGAGAGAAAGCTGCTTCACAGGTCAGGGAATATGAAGTCCCCATGGCTTTCTCTCCTCTCAGAACATGGATGGACAGTATGGGCAAAACAGCTTTTGATTGGTTAGTACCATGGCAGTGCTGACCAATCAAAAGCTGTCTTGCCCACACTGTCCATCCATGCACTGAGAGGAGAGAAAGCCGCAGGAAATTCACATTCCCAGACCTGCAAAGCTGCTTTCTCTCCTCTCCTTGCATGGATGACAGTATGGGCTAGATGGCTTTTGATTGGTTAGTACCATGGCAGTGCTGACCAATCAAAAGCTGTCTTGCCCATACTGTTGTCCATGCACTGATTGGTCAGCACTGCCATGGTACTAACCAATCAAAAGCTGTCTTGCCCACACTGTCCATCCATGTACTGAGAGGAGAAAAAAGCCGCGGGTATTTCAAATTCCCGGACCTGCAAAGCGGCTTTCTCTCCTCTCCTTGCAGGGGATGAGAGTACGGGCTAGATGGCTTTTGATTGGTTAGTACCACGGCAGTGCTGACCAATCAAAAGCTGTCTTGCCCATACAGCCGTCCCTAAGAGGAGAGCAAGCAGCAGGAAATTCAAATGCCCACACCTGCGAAGTGGCTCTCTCTCCTCTCCTTGCAGGGATGACAGTACGGGCTAGATGGCTTTTGATTGGTCAGTACTGCCATGGTTCTGCCCAATCAAAAGCCATCTAGCCCGTACTGTCATCCCTGCACTAAGAGGAGAGAAAGCTGTAGAGATTTCAAATCCCCAGCTTTTCCTTCTGTAACAGCACGGGATTGGTGCAGGGAGGTTTCCCGCACCGCTCCTCTGTGAAAGCAATGACATGCCCGGGTTCAAAGAGGAGCAGTGGGGAAACCACATGCGATTTGGACAGGAATTGCACATGCTATTCTTTGCAGTGCAATTTGGGTCCATGCGTTTTGTATTGCCGCAAATCGCACAACAAAGTATCAATACTCTGTATCGGCGAGTACTTGACCAAACTCCTTTTTCCCGATCAAAAAAAAGGGTATCTGTGCATCCCTGGCCATAACCAGCACTCCCTCCTGTGCCGAAATGTGTCACTGTGACCGGGCTATGGAGACAACACAGCAATGCCAGGCCCCATGCTGAATATCACAGCATTCACATCTGCCCTTTACCACATGCTGGAACAATGTAACATCACACAGGGCCAGTAACCACAGGGCACTTTTTGTGTTGACCATCTGAAGTGTGTGTGTGTGTGTGTGTGTATATATTTTTATATATATTTATATATATATATATATATATATATATATACACACACACCGTAAATATATTTTTTTCCTTTAATTTAATAAGCGCTGCACTACCAAATTACGTGTACATCGGCACTTACCACTTTCTTATTTATATATATCTATATATTTTTTTTAATATCTATATACACACACATATATATAGTATATATATATATATATATATTTTTTTTTTTTTTTTTTTTTACATTTAATATCTATATATACATATTTAATATATTTTTTTTATTTAAGATATATATATATAATTTCTTTTATTTAATATCTATATGTATTAAAAAAAAAATATTTTATATATATATATATTATAATGGTAAATAAAAAGAAAAAAAGCTTATAAATACATATATTATATAATAATATAATATAGATAGATATACATAAGAAAGTGGTAAGTGCCGATGTACACATAATTGGGTAGTGCAGCACTTATTAAATTTAAAGGAAAAAAAAAAAAAATTATATTATATATATGTGTGTGTGTGTGTGCGTGCTGCACTACCCAATTATGTGTACATCAGCACTTACCGCTTTCTTAGCCCCCCCCCCCCCCCAAAGGCACAGCCGGCTCACCTAACGCAGCTTCCTGTGACAACGGGGGATGATGCTGCACTGCTCCTGGATTTGGAGCACATTTGCCTCTCATCCAGGCTGTCCCTGCTTGCGCTACAGTGGGAGGATCGGAAGTTTCCGGTGGTGGCTCTTGCCATCATAACTGCTGACTCACAAGCCTGTAGCCTGCCAATCAGCATCTGGTAATACCTAGTCCCACCCACTGCTTTCTGTATTCACAGCACCTCCTCTGTTGCCAAAACCCTCCCACAGTGAGCCGCAGTGTCTGGTGGGGGGAACGTGTGAGACACAAATAAAGGAGGACTTAACTCAGGGCAGGTTGAGGAAGTTTTGTTTTTACATTATGAGGCACAGAAACCCCCGTTGGGCACTCGTTCAGACTGATACAGGTGCCTTTATCCACACTTTAACTTCTTCACGCCGGCCGCACGCAAATGTGCGGCCTCTCGGCGTCTGGGCCTTGACACCGAGCTGCCGCACGTTTGCGCGCAATTAACAAAAACATATGTGCTGAGAGCATGCGCCCTGCATGCTCCCAGCACACGTCCAGCACTCACAAAAAGGTACCGATCTCCTCTTTCGATCGGGACCCTTCCCGATCATGTGACCGCCGTGACAGCGAATCAGGGCGGTCACATGACCTTAAAAACCATGCCCCGCCCTCCAGGCTTCTGAAACCCTTAAAGGGCCGGGAGGTGCCGCCGCCAAGAGGTTAAATAGTGTGCAAAATCATGCATTGCCTTTGTTTAGGTTTTCATGGAGTTTCTCCTATTTGAGACGATCATCTGGAAAAAGTTCCAGCTACTCCTAATGGTCTCACCTGCTGTGACACTTCAGGCTTGGGTCCCAGTTCCAGCAGCCGCCTGGCGAACACCGCGGCCGTTTTGAAGTTCTTGAGTTTGAAGAAGAGGTTGACAGCCGTTCTGAGCACCAGGATCATGTGGACGGGCTGCAGGTTGGAGTGTGTGAAGTAGGCTGCCATCTGCAATGAGGAACACACAAGGTCACAGCAACAGCAACGGCTCCCTCTGGCAGCAGCTATTAACTCTACTCTTCCTGAGGATTCCCTCGCCCTCCTGAGGATTCCCCCCCCCTCACCCTCCTGAGGATTCCCCCCCCCTCGCCCTCCTGAGGATTTCCCCCCCCCTCCCCTCCTGAGGATCCCCCCTGAGAGATTTCCCCCCCCCCCTTCCCTCCTGAGGATCCCCCCCCCCCCCCCCCTCTGCTCTCTTGAGGATCCCCCCCCCCCAGGATCGCTCTCTTGAGGATCCCCCCCCCTCGCTCCCCTGAGGATCCCCCCCCCCTCCTCTCCTGAGGATCCCCCCCCCCCTCGCTCTCCTGAGGATTCCCCCCCCCCCTTCTTCTCACCTCCTGAGGATTCCCCCCCCCCCCTCCTTCCCCCCCCCTCACCCTCCTGAGGATTCCCCACCCCTTCTCACCCTCCTGAGGATTCCCCACCCCTTCTCACCCTCCTGAGGATTCCCCCCCCTTCTCACCCTACTGAGGATTCCCCACCCCTTCCTGACCAGGCCATTTATTGCGTTACGGCGCTGCGATACTTTAACTGACAATTGCGCGGTCATGCACCCAAATTAAATTTACGTCTTTTTTTCCACTGATTAAGCTTTATTTCTGTGGTATTTGATCACCGGTGCAGTTTTTATTTTTTGCGCAATAAAAAAAAAAAAAAAAAAAAAACAGACTGACAATTTTGAGAAAAAAAATTTTTTTTTGACTTTTTGCTATTAAACATGTCCAGTAAAAATTTTTTAAAATCAAATTTCGTCATAAATTTACACCAAAATGTATTCCGCTCCGTGTCTGCTAAAAAAAAAAAAAAAAATCCCAATACGTGTAAATTAATTGGTTTACGTGAAAGGGGGGGGGGGGGGGGGGTGATACTCTGTAATCAGTGCCTGAGCTGATGGGGAGATGGGGAGGATTGTTAGTAAACAAAACAGTTCTTGGAAATCACCAGGCGCCGGCGAGTAAATTGCGGGAATAAAAAGCACTGACACCGTACTAATGGCACTGGGCAGGAAGAGGTTAACATCTGGGGTGATCAAACTGTGTGCTGGGAGTGTTTTACTAGGGGGCGGGATGTGTGTGATACACTAATCAGTGCCCGAGCTGAGGAGGAGAAGGACTGTTCGTAAACAAAACAGTCCTCGGAAATCGTCAGGCGCCTGCAAGTAATTACCGGCTAATAAAAAGCACTGACTGTATAATGGCACTGGGCAGGAAGGGGTTAACATCTGGGGCAATCAAAGGGTAAACTGCTTGCTGTTTCACAGTATGCTGCGTGAGTGCTTTCCACTAGAAGCACACTGCTTTGTATGGCTGTGCTATGCACAGCCATACAAAGCAGTGTGCAGGAGCTGACGGGAGAGATCTGTGTTGATTATACACAGATCTCTCCCCCGTCGGAAATACTCAGCGATCACTGGGTGCCGGCAAGTAATCGCTGGCCAGGACCCGGTGATTGACAGCCGAGGTCAAAACAAACTTCCTGAGAGCTTAGGTCGTCAAGAACCCATTTCCCCCGGGGCCGTGTCACAGGAGAATGCTGCAGGGAACGGAGCTGATGTCATCAAGCGGTGCCATTCTGTGCAGTGCTCTGGACCAGCCCACCTCAGGAGGAATATGAACTACAGTATGTCATCACATGGCCGGACCAATGTTCTCATTTGTGCTTTTCTTCTCTGCCCCCCTCCAGCTCACCTCACAGATCCTCTTCTGCTGCTCCAGAGTTCTCTTTTGGAAGTTTCTTTCGCTCGATTCCATGGAGAGACCCACGATGTATTCTCTGCAAATGGTGATCAGCTGCTGAGCCTGAAAAAAAAAAAAAAAAAAAAAAAAAAGGGGGGGGAAGGTAAGTTAATTCCCTTTCGCTTCGATTTCCATGGAGAGACCACAATGTAGGATGGGCGCGGTAAATGTAATAATTCCCCTGAAGCGGGCTGAAACCATTCTAAACGCCAAAATGGGGGGAAGGTAAGTAATAATTCCCTTTAAGCGGGCTTCAGAAACCCATTCCAGAGACACCAAGTCCATGGATGGGGGGCGGTAAGTAATAATGTAATAATTCCCCTTAAGCGGGCTTCAGAAACCCATTCTAGAGACGCCAAGCCCATGGGGGGGGGGAAGTAAAGCAATAATTCCCTTTAAGTGGGCTTGAGAAACCCATTCTTGAGATGCACAAGGCCCATGAGGATGGGGGCGGTAAGCAATAATTCCCCTTAAGTGGGCTTCAGAAGCCCATTCTAGAGACGCCAAGCCAATGAAGGGGGGGGGAGGGGCGGTAAGCAATAATTCCCTTCAAGTGGACTTGAGAAACTCAATCTTGAGATGCCAAGCCCATGAGGATGGGGGGCGGTAAGCAATAATTCCCTTTAAGTGGGCTTCAGAAACCCATTTTGGAGACGCCAAGTCCATGGGGGGGTAAGTACTAATTCCCCTAAAGCGGGCTTCAGAAACCCATTCTAGAGACGCCAAGCAATAATTCCCTTTAATAGGTTTAGAAACCCATTCTAGAGATGCCAAGCCCATGGGGGGGGGAGTGGTAAGCAATAATTCCCCTTAAGCGGGCTTCAGAAACCCATTCTAGAGACGCCAAGCCCATGGGGGGGGGGCAGTAAGCAACAATTCCCCTTAATAGGGCTTCAGAAACCCACTCTATAGACGCCAAGCCCATTGGGGGGGGGGCAGTAAGTGATAATTCCCCTTGAGTGGCCTTCAGAAGCCCATTCTACAGACGCCAAGCCCCCACCTCGGAGATCTCCTGCTTGTTGTCCACCACCAGAAGGGGAACGCTGAGCAGAATCAGGCGGAACTTCTCCACCGCCTCTTCGAACTTGCCGGACGTGGTGAGCTGGTAGCACAGCTGCAGCCGCTGGATGAGATCGCTGAGCTTCAGACCAACCGCAGGAAGTCCGTTCTTCAATCCCGCGTCCTTCCTACAAACACCGAGAACATGGGATTAGTATCTGACCAGTCAGCTGACTTCGCGGTGACCTCAAGTAGGCTGCTATCGGTGACCATTCCTCCTGCTGACCCCTCTGATCTGACCCAGAACAAAGCCTGCACACCATCAGAATTCTATCATCTCTGTGACTTCACTTGCTGCATGCTTGCGGATCATAAAAGAGCAAAACCCATCTGGAATTATTCTGACATTTTCAGACGATGGTCAGCGATGTTGCCGATTTATGTTCCCGAGCGCAGGAAACACACACTACACCTCAGGATGCGTCCGGGGAGCTCTTACCAGTTGCGCTGTGGGTAGCCGTACATGGCGGGAAGCCCCGGCAGAGCCTGGAAGGTGCTGCGTCCTCGGGAGAAGGTATGGAGGAAATGTTGCTTGTATGCGCCGAAGTTCACCACTCCCACCTGGTCATGGAGGAGCTGAGAGGACAGGAATCACAGTTAGTCTCAAGTTACAAAAATCCTGTAAAGTTTCATTTAGATACGCAGCTGATATATGCAAATGGAGGCGGTTGGGAGCGCTCTTCTTTATTAACCGCCTCCCACCCATCCGCCTGCATGCAATAGAAGGCCCCTCCCACATACTCCTCCCTGGCTAGTTATCGGCTAAATAAAGTGGTTTTGTGCCATTGTAATAGAAGGCCCCTCCCACATGGTCCTTAGTTACCAGCTAACTGCATGACCCATTGTAATAGAAGGCCCCTCCCACATGCGCCTTAGTTACCAGCTAACTGCATGAGCATTGTAATAGAAGGCCCCTCGCACGGGCTCCTTAGTTACCAGCTGTAATAGAAGGCCCCTCCCACGTGCTCCTTAGTTACCAGCTAACTGCATGAACCATTGTAATCGAAGGCCCCTCCCACATGCTCCTTAGTTAACAGCTGTAATAGAAGGCCCCTTGCACATGCTCCTTAGTTACCAGCAAACTGTAGGAGCCATTGTAATAGAAGGCCCCTCGCACGTGCTCCTTAGTTACCAGCAAACTGTAGGAGCCATTGTAATAGAAGGCCCCTCGCACGTGCTCCTTAGTTACCAGCTAACTGCATGAGCCATTGTAATAAAAGGCCCCTCCCACATGCTCCTTAGTTACCAGCTAACTGCATGAGCCATTGTAATAGAAGGTCCTCGCACGTGCTCCTTAGTTACCAGCTGTAATAGAAGGCCCCTCCCATGTGCTCCTTAGTTACCAGATGTAATAGAAGGCCCCTCCCACGTGCTCCTTAGTTACCAGCTGTAATAGAAGGCCCCTCCCACATGCTCCTTGGTTACCAGCAAACTGTAGCCATTGTAATAGAAGGCCCCTCGCACGTGCTCCTTAGTTACCAGCTAACTGCATGAGCCATTGTAATAGAAGGCCCATCGCATGTGCTCCTTTGTTACCAGCTAACTGCATGAGCCATTGTAATAAAAGGCCCCTCCCACATGCTCCTTAGTTACCAGCTAACTGCATGAGCCATTGTAATAGAAGGCCCCTCCCACATGCTCCTTAGTTACCAGCTAACTGCATGAGCCATTGTAATAGAAGGCCCCTCCCACATGCTCCTTTGTTACCAGCTAACTGCATGAGCCATTGTAATAGAAGGCCCCTCGCACATGCTCCTTAGTTACCAGCTGTAATAGAAGGCCCCTCACACATGCTCCCTAGTTACCAGCTAACTGCATGAGCCATTGCAATAGAAGGCCCCTCCCACATGCCTCTTCCTGGCTAGTTACCAACTGACCTTTTGCTATTTTCCCCATTCAGAGCTCTGAACTCACCCGCATTGCCGTTTCAAATGACCCGGCCAAGATGTGATCCACAGAAAGCTGGGAGTTGTTGCACCACATCTGCAATAGACAGAAATAACGGTCAACATCTAGCAAACTACCATTATATAAGACAGGACATCGTCTTTCCCCATCTGATCGTTTTATTCGGTCACACGGCAATCTTCACAGTCACACCACATATTCATTCATTTCTTTCACAGCAAAAAGGAATAATTCAAACCAGTTTTCCATGTAATATTCAAGAATAAAAGTTTCCTGAATTTCAGTGGTCTGGTGAGCCTTTCTGGTCTGGTGAGCCTTTCTGGTCCGGTCCTGTATGTGAACACCTCTAATGTCTTACCTGTGCCGGGCTGCTGCCTTTGGTGGGTGGCACAAAGAAGCCATCTTCTCCCATTCCGGATGGGCCAGAGGGAACATCCTGAATAAAAAAAGTAAGAAAGACTGAAGGCTCGGTGGTATAAAAAAGAAAAAAAAAAAAAAAAAAAAGAAGGAAGGAAGATGTCCGTCCACCTTGCTTCCCTATCAGGAAAAAAACAAGTTTGGAAGCAGATGGCAAATTCCTCACTATACAAGCAGGAACAAGTCTACACAACCGGGAAGACGGACATTCTGTCTTTCCAGAAAGAAAAACAGAATGAGGTCCATAAAAAAAAAATAGCAAATCTCTTAAAGCTATGACACCCCAAAAAAAGCACCTCTGATTTTAAGGATTCTCACCAGTTCAGGGGGAAGTTCCAGATCTTCTTCCACGTCCCATCCACCTCCTTCTTCCTGTCCTTTTCCAGGAGCCTCATCTCCAAATGTCTCTCCTGCATCCACAAAGCCATCTAGAATTAGAAGAAAAGCATTCAAGGACACATTCTTCCTGACCATCCATCAGAAGACCAACAATCAGACATCTGCTTTACCTTCATCCAGCTGAAGCTCAGCATCCTCTCCCCAACCTTCTCCTCCAACAGTGTCCACATCGATGTCCGCTGCCATACCTTTGGCTATAAGAGACAAAAAGGAGATAGGAGGTGATTTGACGAGAGGACCTTCTCTGGCCTTGTTCTTCAGAACCCTTGATATCTCTGCAGAAACCCTTACCTTTACTTGCGATGGTTCCTTCAAAGAAGCCCTTGGGACACAGTCAACAGAGGCCAGTTGGTGTCTAGCGGCATAACCGGAGGAGGTGGCAGCAGCAGTTTGGCATTTGGGTCTACCTCTGGAATCTACAAAGATGTGAGGACAGGCTGATCAGGCTCTACACACACACAAAGAACGGATTTTGATCTCAGCTAGGTGGCCGGCTTAGCTGGATTAGTCACCTTGCTTTGAATGACACCTCCAATTGTTTGTTTTTGATGCCGGCGGACATTGTGGTTTTAGTGGTCTGTTAAATCAGATGACCAATCGTGCCAGTGTAAGGTGGGCAGGAGAAAAGTAGACTGTACCAAGGAGCCTCCCTACATTAAACCTGAAGGAAAAGCAATACAGGGCTGCCATTGCGGACTTCTATGAATACAGTTCTCAGGCTTCGATACCTTACCGACCCGGAAAAGGCATGTGGATTAGAAACACAGAAGGCGTTGAAGCCTGAGGATTGGCGGGCCAGTCAAATGCCACTGAAGCAATGGCAACCTCCATAATGTCTCAACACAATTCTCCTTTACAGTAGATGTAATCCCAATCAGGAAAATATCAGAAGCATGTGAATGGCACTTCAAACATCATGTTTCATCTTTTTATTCTGCAGTAAATAGTTCCTGGTGATCCTGCCACAAAGGTCCTTGTTCAGGCCCTTGCTGGTGACAATACCCTATCCCTGTCTCCCAATGGTCTCCTGCGTTGTCACCCTGTCAGTGACTACAAGAGGCCGTTTCGACACACAATGCCCACTGGTGACACCATTAGGAAGCCCACCTCGAGAAACGCTATGTAGCCACTTGTTAAAGGATATGTTCACCTTTTGGAGCATGTTATATGTTCCAACCGTATTTAACCACTTCCAGTCCGGACGCTTTCACCCCCTTCCAGTCCGGACGCTTTCCCCCCCCCTTCCAGTCCGGACGCTTTCACCCCCTTCCAGTCCAGACGCTTTCCCCCCCCTTCCAGTCCGGACGCTTTCCCCCCCTTCCACTCCGGACGCTTTCCCCCCCCCTTCCACTCCGGACGCTTTCACCCCCTTCCAGTCCGGACGCTTTCCCCCCCTTCCAGTCCGGACGCTTTCCCCCCCTTCCAGTCCGGACGCTTTCCCCCCCTTCCAGTCCGGACGCTTTCCCCCCCCCCCCACCCTTCCAGTCCGGACGCTTTCCCCCCCCCTTCCAGTCCGGACGCTTTCCCCCCCTTCCAGTCCGGACGCTTTCCCCTCCTTTCCTGTCCGGACACTTTCACCCCCTTCCTGTCCGGACACTTTCACCCCCCTTCCAGTCCGGACACTTTCACCCCCTTCCAGTCCGGACACTTTCACCCCCCTTCCAGTCCGGACACTTTCCCCCCCTTCCAGTCCGGACACTTTCCCCCCCTTCCAGTCCGGACGCTTTCACCCCCCTTCCAGTCCGGACGCTTTCCCCCCCCCTTCCAGTCCGGACACTTTCCCCCCCCCCCCCTTCCAGTCCGGACGCTTTCCCTCCTTTCCTGTCCGGACACTTTCCCCCCCTTCCAGTCCGGACACTTTCACCCCCTTCCAGTCCAGGCCAATTTTCAGCTTTCAGCGCTATCACACTTTGAATGACAATTGTGCGGTCATGCAACACTGTACCTGTATGAATTTTTTAGCATTTTTTTGAGACAGATAAAAAAAACTTTATTTTGGTGGTATTTATTCACCACTGGGATTTTTATTTTGTTTGCTATATAAATGAAAAAATCTAAAAAAAAAGTGTTTCTTATACAATTTTGCAAATAAATAATCTTTCTTCATACATCTTGGCCAAAATGTATTGTTATTTTTTTAGGAAAAAAAAATAACCCAAATTAGTTTATAACCAAAAGTTATAATTTTTCAAATTTATTTTACATTTTTTTTTTTTTATATTTGTTTTTTTTTTTTTTTTACATACTGTCACCCTAGCAGTACATTGACACTGTACTACTTATGGGGGGTTATGAAGATTTTTATTTTTTTTTACATTGATTGCTTTTATACCCCTAAAGGCTGTAAAAGCAATCATTTCTCCTTCTCTCTGGCTGCATTCCTGCAGCCATTGAGAAATACTGTGAGAGCTGTGATTGGTCACAGCTTGTCACATGGTACAAGGCTGTTGTGAATAGCCCTGTACCATGTGATCTCTGTGATCATTCACAGATTTCACACGTAGTAAGCAATGATGTCAAAGTGACATCTTGCTTTCTACTCTGCATATGATCACTGATTGGTCAACATGTGGAGTGATCAAAGGGTTAACTGTGTGCTGTTTCATTACGTGGGCTGTGTGAGAGCTTTCCACTATAAGCACACTGCTCTGTAAGGCTCTGCTATGCAGTCATACAATTCTTTCCACTATAAGCACACTGCTTTGTATGGCTCTGCTATGCAGAGGCATACAAAGCAGTGCGGAGGGGCTGACGGGAGAGATCTGTGTTTATACACAGGTCTCACCCGTTGGAGAAACTCGGCGATCGCTGGGTGCCGGCGAGTAATCACCAGCCAGGACCCGGTGACTGACAGCTGGGACCGCGAATGGCAGCACAAGCGCGCCCCCTACCTGGAACGGCGAAATCACGTATATATACACGTGGTTTTGCGCACACCCGTGCTGCCCTGTAGCAATATTTCTGCTGTAGGGCGGCGCGGCATCGGTTAATCAATCGCATGTTACCCTCCAATGGTCGCTGCCACATGGCTGCTGTGTAATGCCTGATGGGTAGTGTTGTAGGAGGCCACGTAACACACTTACTATTTCTTTCTCTGGGTCAAAGGATTCCCGCAGTTTGTCTTCTTCATCCGTAATTCCATGTGTGGCTGCGGTGAGATAAGCCAGAGACTCTGCAGAAGAGGAAAGACACATACATGGTACAACTCTGCAGGGCAATTAGAAGGAATAGGCAGCGTGGCAGATGAGGTTTTACTTACTCTGCCCACAGTTCTTCAGGATCCTCACTCGCTCGTCAATGTCTCCCAGGTAGAGGGCGTTCTGGTACTGCCCCCGCTCATGTCCTTACGGATCTCGGCTGTAAATCAAGATATAAAGGAAGACTGAATGACCCAACCAGTCCTCAGATGATGGCACCGCTGTTCTGATCACTGTTCTCCTTGCTGGAAAGTAAGCTGTACTCGAGGACCTGCAGCGCAAGGATCTCCTGCTTCTGTTTCATCTACTCTGTGGATCTGTGCTTGCTCTCCCTGGATCATTACCCCTCTAGTCCTCAGATGATGCCACTACTGTGCTACTCACTGTTCTCCTTGCTGGAGGGGAAGCTATACCTGACAACTTGCAATGACCCAACAGGCCCGCTCCAAAGTACTGTAGAAAGCCTTCCTAGCAGAATGGAGGCCATTCTATAGCCACAAAGGGGGCACCGACTTCACATCATATGCAGCTGAGTTTACATTCCGGCACAGATCCTGTGTGCCGGGATGACCGAGCGCATACAAAGGAGTGACGTCCTCCCACACCAGCCAAATGAAGACCGCCAGAACACAGTACCTGGAAGAAACCAGTGCCGGCAAGGGACCTTGTGACATTAAAGGAGAGGTAAGTTATTGAGGACTTTAGTTCCCCTTTAAAGCCCATAGCACAAGAACATATAGGTGTGATAGTCGGCTGTGCACAAACTACGGTCATAGATGGGCTGGTGATTCAGCCCAAAACTAACCCCTTCGATCAGCGACTTTTAGCAGTGACTGCGGCGGACATTCTGACACTGGGGGGGAACTGACTTGGTGACACTGATATTCCCCAGTGACACCAATACAATGATCAGTGCTAAAAAACAAAAGCACTGACACTGTACTAATGGCACTGGGCAGGAAGGGGTTAATAGAAGGGGCGATCAAAGGGTTAACTGTGTGATGGGTGTGTTTTACTAGGGGGTGTGTTCTTCACTGTAAGCACACTGATCGGGATGGCTGTGCTGTGTACGGCCACCCTGAACAGTGTGCTCAAGCTGACAAGGAGGATGATTGTTTGTAAACAAAACAATCTTCCTCCCCGTCGGATATGCTCAGTAATTACCGCCCGGGACCCCAGTGATTGACATCCGCGGCCGCAAACGGTGGTGCGCCCCCTACCTGGAAATGCGAAATCATGGATATGTACGTGATTTTGCGCACAGGTGCTGCCCTGTAGCAGCAGTAGATCTGCTATAGGGCGGTCCTTAAGTGGTTAAGAACGGTCAGACGGCGGAAGCCAGCGTCGCAAGTGGAGCGGGGGTTTCTTCTTTCGGGTAGCGGTGGGCATCTACTTCGGGGGACATTTTTTTTTTTTTTTTTTTAATACTTGGGACTTGTCAAAGACTGTCTCCTGTTTTTTTTTTTTACACTGCACTTTTTTTTGTGAATGGGTAGCAGAACCATGTACTGCATTCTCATTCACATGGGGAGGGCTGGGATCTGGGGGCCCCCTTGTCAAAAGGGGGCTTCCAGATTCCGATAAGCCCCCCGCCCGTAGACCTCCACAACCACAGCCAAGAGTTGTGGGGAAGAGGCCCTTGTCCTCATCAACATGGGGACAAGGTGCTTTCCTGACCTGCATGCTCAGATAAGGGTTTTATTATCGATTTTGGGGGGGGAACACCACGCCATTTTTTTTTTTTTTTTTTGCATGGGGGTTCCCCTCAAAATCCATACCAGACCTGAAGGGCTTGGTATGGATGGGAGGGCGGACACCAGGTCCCAACAGAAATGAATAGGACACCGGCACTGGGACGCACACAACGCCTATGCATCCCCGTGTCGGGAAAACAGGAACATGTACATGGCCTGCCGTAAAACTCCCAATGTAAACAAATCATGGAGAGAAATCTGCAGATGATACAAAGATCCCTGGGACACTAGTCCTCTATGTGGTCCACCAAATGTGTCCACCACATGAACCCAGGAGCGGATTATGTAAGAGCAGGAAGGAGGAGATCTACGTGGTCTGCATCTCTTACCGATCTTCATCATCTTGCGCAGTTTCTCCAGGTTCCCGGTGAGGAGGTAAAGGAAGGCGAGCTTATCAAAATTCTTGGTTCGCTGGTAGCACATCTCCACGATCTGATGGTTGCCCTGCAGCAGAGCCACCTCGCCCAGCTTCTCCCAGCAGCTCTTGTCATCCAGAGCCTTTGCGGCTTCCAAAGCAATCTGGTGTGGAGAGAGAAGCTGTTATTACACATTCTAGGCACTCCCATTCTTTAGCCTCATAGATGTATATCTACATGAGATCATCGTAGGCCCTGTTACCTCTGACCAATAGTCCCACCAGGTTGGAGTGAGATTTGTTGATGTCACTACGGTGCTGCTCACTGTTTTCCTTGCTGGAGGGAAAGCTGTACCCAAGGACCTGCAGTGCAAAGATCTCCCTGCTTCATCCATTCTGGGATCTGTGCTTACTTTACCTCTATCATTATCCCTCCAGTCATCAGATGATGCCACTACTGTGCTGTTCACTGTTGTCCTTGCTGGAGAGGAAGCTGTACCCGAGGACCTGCATGCAAAGTTCGCCTGCTTCATCCATTATCTTCGGATCAGTGCTTCCTGCACCTCTCCTGCTTGTTACCCCACCAGGCAACAGGGGGTACCCGAGGACCTGCATGCAAAGTTCGCCTGCTACCCACTGATGCTGAAGAAGCAAAAGAAGCAAAGCCAAGTTGCACGTGCCACTTGTCTCACCAGGACTGGAGTTATGTGTGGTGATGTCACTACAGTGTTACCCACTGTTCTCCTTGCAGAAGGAGAAGCTGTACCTGGGGAACTGCAGTGCAAGGTTCTCCCTGCTTCTGCTTCATCCATTCTGTGGATCTGTGCTTGCTCTACATCTGTCATTACCCTTCCAGTCCTCAGATGATGCCACTGCTGTGCTGTTCACTGTTCTCCTTGCTAAAAAGTAAGCTGTACCCGAGGACCTGCAGTGCAAGGATCTCCTGCTTCATCCGTTCTGTGGATCTGTGCGTGCTCTACGTCTATCATTACCCACCAGTCCTCAGATGATGCCACTGCTTTTCTGTTCATTATTCTCCTCGCTAGAAAGTAAGCTGTACTCGAAGGACCTGCAGTGCAAGGATCTCCTGCTTCTGTTTCATCCATTCTGTGAATCTGTGCTTGCTCTCCCTCAATTATTACCCCTCTAGTCCTCAGATGATGCTACTACTGTGCTACTCACTGTTCTCCTTGCTGGAAGGGAAGCTGTACCTGAGGACTTGCAATGCAAGGATTTTCTCACTTCTGCTTCTTCCATTCTGTGTATCTCTGCTTGCTCTACCTCTGTCATTACCTCATTAGTCATCAGATCACGCCTCTACTGTGCTGCTCACTGTTTTCCTTACTGGAGGGGAAGCTGTACCAGAGCAGCTGCACTATAAGTTTCTCCCTGCTTCATCCATTATGTGGATCTGTATTTCCTCCACCTCGAATGCCGCTTCTTGACCATTACCCCACTAGGAAATAGGGGGGGCACTACTGATATGAGGAAGCAAAGCCTTGTTCCTCTAACAAGATGGCCGCCTCCACATACAGACTCAGTTCAGAACATGGCATGGTAAGCAAAAGAAAAAGAGCTGCAGAGAGTCTACAGGCAATACTGGTTACTAGTCTTTTCCCCCATCCTTGCCTTTTTTTGGCACAGCTTTCACATTGCAAGTACCCTGCAAAGCAAACCTGTTACTCAGCGCTTTATGGACACAGCACAGGAAGTGCATTTTCACCGACAAACTACATCCAGAGCATCTAAAAGGCAAACTCAATCCACGTTCGGCTTCCAGTGTGGAAGTGCACACGGGTCTTACAGAACAACATTCACATTTTCGGTCAGGGTGGAAATCGTGAAAGAGGATCTGGACACAGTGGCGCCCCGAGGCAGGTGCGGGGGGTGTGCAACTGCACCGGGTGACACCTACCGCACATGGTGACACCGAACCCGCTCCACAAAAAGATAAGTTGTACAGAAAGCCAACATTCCCCGAAGGATGCACCGGATCTGCGGATTGGGGAGCATAATGGATCGGAGTCTGATCCATTATGCTCAATCCGCAGATCCGAACCATCCTGCGGGGATTGTTGGCATGCAACCTATACGGGGTGACACCGGACCCGCTTCACGAAAACGTAGGTTGTACAGAAAGCTGACGATCCCCGCTGGATGGATGGGATCTGCGGATTGGGGAGTATAATGGGATCGGAGTCTGATCCATGATGCTCAGTCCGCAAATCCCATCCATCCTGTGGGGATCGTCGGCATGCAACCTATACGGGGTGACACCGGACCCGCTTCACGAAAACGTAGGTTGTACAGAAAGCCGACGATCCCCGCAGGATGGATGGGATCTGCGAGCATAATGGATCGGACTCCGATCCATTATGCTCAGTCTGCAGATCCGATCCATTCTGCGGGGATTGTCGGAGGGGGTGTCACCAAGTGTTATAGCACCGGGTGACACCAACCCTAGGGACGCCTCTGTCTGGACAAGTCAACAAACCTCAATATTCCCGCACTCCAGAGCCAGGCTAAAACGCGTCTTCTCGTCCTTCACAAAGTGCAACGCCACCTCAGGGTAGCCCTTCTTCTGTAGGTAGGCAATGATCGACTGTCCGACCAGCTTGGCGTTTCTCACCATGTGCAGCACCTAGCGGAAAGAAAAAAAAAAAAAAAAGATAGATAAGTGTGCAACTAATCTTGAAGACAGCAGAGGGAGACAAAGCGCATCTAAAATTAGCAGGACTGCCAGCAAATGTGTGAATGCCAGTTTTAAAGAGAACCTGTCACAATGACATGGGAGCATATTTTAGGGTTGACATTGTCATCCTAGTTTCAGAAGCAGT